TCCTGGCGGCGCAGATCTTAAGGTTTTCCTTCTGGTTTTTCTGTTCTTCATTTTATGTAAAATCCCAAAAACATAAATTTGATTTATTTAGCCAGCGACTGCAAATCAATCAAAACGGCCTAATGAGCTCCCCCAAAACCCAATCCGTTCACAGTTCGACAATCCGGAAACAGTTGACATCGAACTTACTCCGACCAGATTCACACGATCCCCAAAAAACCGGGGTCTTTAGATAACATGCGCCGTTGTATTTAGCTAATGACCTCCGCTCTGAGCTTGGATTTCTTGTCTCTTGTCTTGTCTCTTGTCTGTTGTCTCCTGTCTCTTTCTCTGTTTACTCGTCTGGTCTCTCGGAGTTCAAGCAACCTGCTTTGCATAAATCGACGTCTTAGACGATGTCTAAGAACACAACTCGCAGACTCTGCGCTCACCACAATTATGACTAACGCGGAGACAAAGAGAAATGTGCTCTCTCTCTCTCTTTCTATCTCTCTCACTATCTCTCTCACTCCCTTTCTAACTGCTGCAAAACTTTTCAGCACTTGGCAATTTGCAGTAATTTCCTTACAGAAACAAAAGCAAAACCCAAGAGGTGCAGCTACCAAATATGGCTGACTTTGAGTTACCCCGCAAAATTACCAAAAAATCAAATAAATTAAAAAATCTAAAAAAAATAGATTAAAAATTTATAATAAATGATATTCATAATAAATGTTTTGTTAGCCCAACTCCAAGAGCAAGTTTCCTTTGTCTAAAAGAGAAAAAATCAACAACAGAAAAAATTGTAAATCGAGGTTAGATTTAATTTGTAATAAATTTTGTTAGCTCATTTCCAGCTCCAAGTTTTCTCAGATTAAAATTAGTCATATTTATAACAACAAATCCATTGTAAATTCTCATTTCCCATTTAAGGCCTGTCCAACAGAAACACCCTTTAAAACTACCCAGACAAGGTTGCAGAAACTAGCATCTACATTTAATAGAAAGTATATTGAAGTTGATTGTAAATTTTCTCAGCTTGCGCACACATAACTGCATATTATATACAAATCCAACTGATAAAGCCTTTATAAATTTATGTACAACATTATTCATACTTATATTTATAATATTACCATAACTATATATACCCCACCCCTGCACAAATAACATTTCCCTTGCCGTTTGGCCAGGAAAATCCGAGCGAGAAAGTCAAGGAACTCAAAATGAGCGTCAACCCAAAATGATGTGTAAACAAGAAGAGAGCAAGTAACAACGAGCAGTGTAGAGTAACGGGGGAGGGGGGGAGCAGCGAGGGTGTCAAGAAGTGGCTGCCCAAAATGTGCTACACACACACACACACACAGATATACACACAGCCCCCCCTCGCGACAAGCAGCTACTTATTTTCACAGCAGCCTTCGTCGACGACTTTTTGCAACTTTTGCTGACTGCTTGGTATTCAAGCGCTCTCAGCACTCTGTGTGTGTGTGTGCGAGTGTGTGCGTGTGTATGTGTGTGTGAATTTCTGTGAATGAAAAACTCAACTAAACATAGCAGAGCAGAGCAGAGCAGAGAGTGAGAGAGTATGAGAGAGCGAGAGAGAGTGTTGCCTTTGCCGGCAGCTTTATGCTCAGTGCTGGCAAAGTTGCGACTCTATTAAGTAATAGGCGCTCAGTTTTTTGGCCAACGACGCGACTCGACTCGACTCGACTCCAGGCAACTCAACTCAGCTCAACTCGACTTTTTTCCCACCTACTACTACTTACGCATTTCCGCATTTCCGCACATCCGCACATCCGCACGTCTGCCTGTCTGTCTGTCTGTCTGTCTGTATATATTTTGGAGGGGGCTGCCAGCTGGCGTCGCGGGGCTTTCCCCAATGACGATGACGACAAAAAGCAGGCGAGTTTTGGCTGCTTTTTTCTTTTTTTTGTTTTTGTTTTTTTTTTTGACTCCGTTGCCTTCCTCTTCTCCTGGTCCTCCTGCTTGGCTGTTCTCTTTTGCTGCCTGTGCTGTTTTTATTACAATTTTCTCTTGATTTCATTTCAATAAATTAACAAAGCAACAGTAAATTGCGAAGCACAAGATAATTAAGCGCAAAAATGAAGAAAATGGTTGCCATCGTTGCTGTTCCCCCCCCTTTCATCTCTTCTAGCAAGTCTCATTTATGCAGCAGCTGCTGCTTCAGCTGATACATATTGAATACTATGAATGTCTATCTATGAATATCTCCACAGCTCAGCATTCATATTCATAAGCCACACACACACACACACACTCACACACACTCACACACACACTCGTACACTCGGAGACAGCACTCATGGAGCAGCGACGACGCATTTATGCATTATTTATGCCACAAATAATACAAAAACAAATACAAATACAACACACAAACACACAAAATGCATACAAGTATTTCTTAAGTGCAAAAATAATATAGAAAAAATATTAAAAATACATGCATATACACAGATACATATGCATACACACATATAGATATATATATATATATATATATGCATATCTACATTCGAAACTCAATGTCAAGAGTTTGTTTTTTACATAGAAATCTTTGGTGGCAACAAAAAACGGCAGACAACTCAAGTTAGTAACTAACTCAAATATTATTAATTATGACAGTCGACAAAACAAGTATACACTCAGAGAAAGCACTGACTTCAAATCGGTTGTCAACTCAACTTTAACTATGAATTTTATTTAATTAATAAATGAACTGTCAATTAAATATTTTGAGAATGGCATATTGAAGTTGTGCAAAAGTTTGCAGCGGACAGAAGGAAACATCAACTATATATATATACATATGGGTATATATATTCTCGATCAGCATGATTATCGATTTGTTTATAAGGGATGGAGACTTCAAATTTATATTCCTCGTTTATCATAAACAGTTGAAGTTTACTTAGTATTATCAATAATTTCCCAACTCTTCCCAATCTCGATGTGAATTGATTTCAATTTGTAAAGATATAACCTTACAGTCATTATATTATACACCCCAACAGATGATAAATCAACTGTAAACATATCATTTTTATGAGATGTTAAACAAACTACAAACTATCAGCATTTTAACTACTTATTAATATAATTATAGAAGAAACTTCAACAAAAAAAATGTGAGCAGCTTTGATCATTAGTTATCGCTATCGTTTTCTCGCTGTGTAGACAAATGTTGCACACTTGAGAGTGCAATCAAAGTTGAATCAAAGTGGCATTAGTTGAAATTATAGAAAAACGCAAATGCAACTACTTGAGTTAAATGAAAAATGAAAATCGAGAAGCGAGAAGCGAGAAACGAGAAACACGAGACAAATATTTGCGCACTTTTGTTTGCATTGCCATCAATTTTTGTCATTTGTTTAACTAATTTTTTGTATTTTTTTAAGGCTTGTTGTTTTTCTGTGCCTATTTTCTTTGTATTTGGATTTGTATCTTTGCATTTGTATCTAGTATATGCGTGCATTGCGCAATTTGGCGTCATTAGCATTAAAAATGTTGAATTATTTTTCAAGTCGCTGACGCAGTTAATGCCGGAGACCCCTCGAGAGACCCCTTGTGGCCCTCTCATTTTATACAAATCCAATAGAAATAACAATCAAATGCAACACAAAATGCAAAAAGCTAAATACAACACTTTAATTTGTTGTTGTTGTGTAAATTTGGTTGTAATAGGAATGCATTTATGCACTTTTCCTACTTTGTTTGTTTTAGTCACACGCAACAAGCAACAACTCAACATGTGAGTGTCTATGTGTGTGTCTATGTGTGTGTGTGTGCGTATTTTTGCATTATGTAAAAATAATTTAACTCGATCTCATGGCCTTTGGCCAAAACCGAACAAATGTCCAATATGCTAAGCACTCGCCAAGGCAATATAAATAATTAAGCCAAGTTGAGCAACAACCAACTAAATACTTCAACAGTTGAAGATTGCTGTTCATTCTAATTAGCCAATTAGTTAATTATAATCTACATATTTCTATATATATATATATATATACACATATATAGATTAATCTATTTGCTGATATGCCGCTCTTCAAGTAGCCATAATGAAATAAATTTATACCATCGAGATTATGTATAATTTCAGCAATTATTTTATTGCCGTAATTTTCCCTAAGCAAATAAAAACCTAATCGAACTTTGAACAAAATAAACAATATATCAGATGACAAAAATTGTTAATCTACATTCAAATCAATTTAGTTTTCTGTGTAAAAGAACTACAAATAACAAATGTAATTGTATTTTTTAATTACCTGATAAATAATACTGATAACATTGATGTATTTGTATTTGTATTTGTATAGCCAAGAGCCAGAGCTGGCTATTTTCGATTGTTCAAAATATGTTTTCTATATTGTGCATATTATATATTATATCACTATATTCCTATCTATATTATATATTTGCCCATTATGAACTCAAGCTTAATTCTATTGACTCAAACAGCTGTTTAGTTTTAGATTACTTTTGAACTATGATCTCATATGTTGTTGTTTCGATTATTCATTTGTGAACTCATGTTTTAATTATTTATCTAAGTAATTGAGTAATTATTCGATCTTTCTGTGATCTGTTTCTTTCTCACTTCAGCTCCATCAAAGGGCAGTTTTATAGCTACAATTATTATCACGCTGCATTAATACATATCTAATTTGTTATTGAAGTTTTCTCAGATCTGTTCAATTTTACATTTTCCTCACTTTGGGTCTATGAAAAGGTTTTTTTATGGACAGTGATTATTGCTCAGATTAGTTTTACTTATCTAATTTATCATTCCATCCTTTCACAGATATATCTCTTATTTGTGATCTCCTTATTCGATTTTCCTCAATTTGGATCAACCAAAGATAGGTTTTGTTGCTCAAAGATTATTGCTGAGATTACTAAGATTATTATTATATATAATTTGATAATGATTCTACTCATTAAGATCTATCAAAGGGTTATAGATATAGATTGTCAAAAGTGAGACTCACCCTTTCCTCTTCGCGTATCATCTCCGCAATTTCCGGTTTGATTTCCATGTCATCGTGATGGGCACCCAGCGAGGATGCCACCGAGTTGCCCACACCTCCTCCGCCGCCTGCTCCACCATTGCCAGGAGCTGAGGCGCCGCCAGCAGCCGCAGCTGCCAGAGAGGCGCCCAGAGCACTGGCCATGGCGGCATGCGAGTGGGCCAACTGATGCTGGGCGGCCAGTTGTTGGGCAGCCGCAGCTGCCGCATGATGATGCAGCGAGGCGGCGCTTTGGGATGGCGGCGGTGGTGGTGGTGGTGCCACCGCCGAGCCAGAGCCCGACACAGAGGCAGACGCATGATGAGCAGCGGCGGCAACAGCGGCAGCCATATGCGGCGGCAGCTGAGACTGGCCCGATCCCCGATCCGAACTCTTGGGTGAGCTGAGCTGACTGGACGACGGCGGCGCCGATGGCGGCGGTGGAGGGGAGCAGCTGCGTGCATTGGAACGATAAGCAGCCGCAGCAGCCGAGGAGCTGGCATTGGCGCTGGAGCAGCTGGTGTTGCCGACTGTGGAGGAGCTGCTGCTCGAGCCAGAGGATTGCAGCGTCTGTGGATTTGGTGAGGCGAAGGGATTACGCACTATGGTCGAGGTGGTCATCGCCAGTGGCTGCCCCGCGCTGCTCGCCGAGGAGCTGGGCGTGGGCACATGTCCGCGCTGCGGAGACTCGCCACGCAGTGGGTGTGGCAGGGGCATGGGCAGGGCCAAGGGCAGACTGGGACTGGGCGTGGCATAGCTGCCATCGCGCGAACGCTTCCGCTGCCGCTGATTCAAGTCCAGGGCGGATTCCGCCTGCTGCAGCTTGGCCAGCAGACGTGCTCGCTTCGGCTTGAGCTCCTCGTCGTCTGCATCGCGTAGAATGGCCAGCTCCTCGTCCTCGTCCTCATCGTAGACGGTCATGCGTTGCTCCGACAACAGCGAGGCGCCACCGATCCCAGTGCCCGCTGTCGAACCGGCGCTCACCTCAGCCAGGCCACGTATCTTGAGCGTCTCTGCCACCTTGAGCAGTGGATTTATCTGATCCTGGCACACATTTATCTCACCCTTGTACATGAACTCAACGAGCGCCTTCAAATCACAAAAATTCACATCTCGCATTATGATTATCGGGTGCTGGCAGGGATTGTCATAGAACAGTGCCTGGAAGTAGGGCGAGCAGGCGGAGAGCACCATTTTGTGTGCCTTGATCGAGTGTCCCTCGCAGGCGAGTGTCACATCCACAAAGGATTCGCTTTGGAGCAGCTCATCGAACACGTTGGTCAGATTCGATTGGTAGTTGTTCCAGCGCAGGCAAAACTGTTGATTGTCCCCGGCACCAGCTCCACCAGAGGATTGCGGCTTGCGGTGACCAGCTGTGCTTGTTGGAGCTGATGGACCCAGTCCCAGGCCAAGTCCCAGTCCCTTCTGGGCCAGCCTGGGCTTATGTTCTGTGTGATTATTATTCGGTTTGCTCGATTGCCCAAACTCAAACAGGCCAATCGCTGTCAGATTGTGTGCCACCAGTGGCTGTGGGGAAACGGGCAAGGAACGGGATTTCTTGGCGCTTAACTGTACCCTCAGCTCTGGTTCGTCGGGCTCGGTGTGACCCACTACCTCACTGGAGGTGAGTGGGCGTGGCGGCGGCGTCAGTGGCTCTTCATTGAGCACCAAACGCCGCACATTTGGTTTCTCAGTGTTCTCCTCCTTAAGAAAGGACTCTTCCCGTTGCCGTTCTTGGTCCGGCTCTTGTTCAGGCTCCAGCTCCTGCTCCGGCTCCTTTGGATTCTCCTCCATCTGCTCAACTCTCTCTGTCTTGGCCGGCTCATAGGCCAAGTCTGTTTGGGTGTCTGTCGGCTCCACGTTCACCATTGTGTAATCATTGGGCTCATATTGCTCGTGGTCCAGTTTCCTCTCGAAATCCATAATGTCCTTGGTCATATCCATGGTTCCTTCTCTCTTTTCTCTTTCTCTCTCTCTGTATCTGCTCTTTCGCAGTGTTCTCCTTCTTACTTTGGGTGTTTTGGTTTTGAATTTGTTTTCACTTATCTAGCACATTTTAGGGCCTTCTGCTCTAGGCACTACTTCTGTGCCGGCAAATACTTTTCAGGCTGCAATTAAATGGTTCAAATGTAAATATATAAAATATAATCAAGTATGTCGAAAGAGAAGCAGTTCAAAATGTAATCTCAGATTTCATATGTATAGCTTCATTTTAATACTTAAACTTTTTATATATGTGTATTAATATATTTGTCAGGAAAGTCACCACAAATGGGATTTTTTATATTACACATTTTATGGTTGCATCAATTCCTACACATTATACTTATATATATATTAATATACAATATAGCGTATAATTTATCTACGTATATTGCATATTGATGTATTGTATATTATGCATGAAGCAAAATAAAAAGTTGGTGAATTTATTAATATATATTTCATAAAAGTTTCCACAAAGTTTATTGATTCTACTGCAAATTGTATGGCTGAACCACTTTCTAAAAAAAATACCCATTTATTTTATATGAAAATCAATTAATCCAAAACTGACAGATTTGATATATATTTTAATTAACATCTCCAACTGTCTTCAAATGTGAAAAATGTTATATTGAAGCTGTGCAAAGGTATGCAACAGCCGAAAGACCCCATAAGTTATATATATTCTTGATCAACTATAAACTATCTATGAAAATCGATTTCTGAGTTTGTATAAGAAACACAAATTAATTAGATTAATCGAAATGTAATTCAATCCACTCCGTGCTCAACAGTTGTGTACAGGGTATCTGCTCGTCGAGCAGTCTCTCGACTGAAACATTCTTACTTGTTTCAGAGAGATTTGTGTGATTCTGAGTCATAACTCTTCTAAATATGCCCATTAATCTATTTGCCCTTGCGAGCATTTTCAATTCTACTTATTTGTTGCCACTTCCCGTACCACCTCCTTCCCCCCTCGCACCCTTAATCACCACCCCCTTGGCATATTACTATTTCATTAGCTTAGCACACATTTATTAATGATTCAGTTTTGGTCTAATTTATTATAGAGATTTTCCAAACAATTATTGCGCTGTGGTCATACAAATATAAATATATATTTAATATGTATTATATATAAATATATCTATATACAACAGATATATGTTTTCTATATATGTCTATATATATATAGGTATTATCTTTTCATTTGTGTATCAGTTTCAGTTTGTGTGGCGACGAAACCGTTATAAATAAGTGAAAATACATTCATATTTAATTAAATATTATTATTTATGGCTGACGCGGTCTCTCGGCGCATTTGCGTAATTATATTTATTTAAATACCTATACATACATATATATATATATATATATATAAATATATCCAATATATATATATATATATATATATATATGCAAGTGTTTGTGTGTATTTATATTTTATATATAGCTGCGCATTTATATAAATTTATTGTGTTGAGCTGGCTGGGAGGTGTTGGGTAGGAGGGTGTAGGGGGGCTGCTCTTGTTGTCTAACGGCATTTGCTGTCTGTGTGTGTGTGTATGTGTGTGTGTGTGTTTTGGGTGGTCTGCAGAAATGTTTTACTTCGTCTGTGTATGGGTGTGTGTGTGTATGTGTGTGTGTGTGTGGGGCGCAATGCAAACACAGTCAGCCATTAAATTAATTTATTTTTATTATTATTGTTATTATGTTTCTGCTGCTGCTGCTGCTGCTTCTTCTTCTTCTACTTTTTAGCGACTCTTTTTTATGTTTATTATTTCATTCCAATTAAATCTTGTGAGTCACTGTTATTATTTTTATTATTTTTTATTATTGTTGTACGAACAACAACAACAGCAACAACAACAGCAGCAATTGCAATAAGAAATTATTCTATACGCAGCAAATTGGTTTTCTTCACGCTTCAAATGGGGTGTTTTAGTTTTGTGGTGAGTTCTGCGATGTCGTAAGATATATATCTAAATATATATATATATATATATACATTCAGAAGTGAAAGACTCTTAAGCAAAACTGAGAAAGTCAAAAATCATAATTTAATTCTCCGGGTTTCAGCCTATTTAGTGTAATTATTCACTGAAGAAAGATAACGAAAATATAATAATTAAACCAATTTTCGAATCTGCTTTTGATAATTCAGAAAATTAGAAATAAATATACAAGCTTCATTGCTCTTAGCTGATTGTCTGTTAAAATAAAGGTGTGCCTGATCATTATCAATATATATGTATATAAATGTGATCCTCTGACTTAGATTTGGGAATCAGAGCACTATATCCTATAGCAACAAAATGGATATGGAAATATGGAGACTCTGCTCTGTGAGGGTATTTTAGCATCTTCCTTTTTGTTTGCTGTTAGGCCAACTTTTGGTATTGGCTTATATTCTTGCAGTTATTACTTGTATTTATTGTTGTTTTTTATTTTTGTTTTTATTTTGTTTTTGTTTTTGTTGCTGTTGTTGTTGTTGTTGCTGGGCACGCATTAAATTTTATGCTTCTTTGGAAAAAATTTAACTCAAAGAGCGCTATAAAATAAATAAATAAACGTGCAAAAACAAAAATAAAAAAATAATATTTATACATTATTTTGTTTTTGTTTCTTTGGCATTTCCTGTTTGGGCTTTTCAAGTTTTTCGCCGACTCTCAAAGCGCTGAAACTCTCAAAACTTCAGAAACTGGGAGCAGCTTCAGGCAAAAGAGAGAGAGCCTTAATTCGCTTCCTTATCGTTGTTGTTGTTGATGTTTTTGTTGTTGTTGTTGTTGCTTTTTGATTAATTATTTATAATGCGCGCAGCTGTTGCGCGGCATAAAAATAAAAATTAAAATTGAAAGCAACAGCAAGTAAAATCATAATAATAATAAAAAAAAGAAAGAAATACGCTCTGCACATTAAAAATAAAAAGGCCGGCTGCCACAGCAAGAACAACACACACACACAACACACACACACAAAGGCTGGGCAAAAGTTGAGTTGTTGTTTTTGTTGTTGTTGGCATTATTTTAATATTTATTTTTATTTATTTAATTTACGAGTCCTGCGAAGTTTGCACAGCGAGTGGGTTGCGAGAGATATATAAATATATATAGATATTTATATATATGTGCAGGTATATATATACAGATATATATATATATATGTATTTGTATATGTTTTGTATTTATTTATTTACGCTTATTTATTATTTATGCAGGCAGCAATAAATTACACAAGTTGTTCTCGTTGCTGCTGCTGCCTGTCTGCCCTTTAACGACTGTGTGTGCTGTGTGTGTGTGTGTGTGTGTGTGTGTGTGTCTGTCTGTGTGTGTTTACAAGAGTGTTTTTGGCGCGCCAGGATGATAAAAGCAGCAGCAACAAGGAGCAAGCAGCAAGCAGCAAGGAGCAGTAGAAGAAGAAGACATCGTCGCGTAAGTTTTGCTGGGCGCCCAAAAATACAAAAACAACAAAAGCAGCAACAACAACAAACACTTTTACGAGCTAGACGTGGCCGGGGAGAGGGTGTGTTGTCTTGTGCGGGGGGTGGGGGTGGGGTTGTGGGTTGGGGGTTGAGGGTGTGTGTGTGTGTGTGTGTTTGCACACGTTATAAATTTATAAATTACAAATTTTGTTCGCAAGAAGTTGGGCAACTGCTGAGGCAAAGACAAATTTCACTTCTCCTAAATTATATGTGCATATATTTATGAGCATAAATATTTATATATAAATATCTATTAATATATATATTTAACATATTTGTGGCAACATTATTTCCATTATTGTCATTTGTCACTTACGGGCAATTATTTCAATGAGCATAATTATATTTAATACGCATTCACAAGTTGAACTGAGTTTTCCACGTTTGAGTTTTTCAAGGTTTTATTTTTTTGTTTTTATTTTTTGTTATTAGTTGTAGTTGTTGTTGTTGCTTTTGTTGTTGTTTGTGCAACACATTATGCCGCGTTTTTTATTTTATTAAGTTTTTCTCTGTTTTGTTTTTGTATTTTGGTTTGTTGTTGTTTCATTCACACGCACACACACTGACACAAACACTGATAGAGAGGGCAGCACAAACACACACGATGACGACAATGTTTACAGTTATTGTTGTTGTTTTTGTTGTTGTTGTTGTTGTGTGTTTCTTTTGACACGCTCTGCTGACAAACGTTGCGTTGCATTCACGACGAAAGTTAAATACGAACTGACTGCTCGGCAAAAGTATCTAACAGATACAATGAATGAAACTCGAAACTCAGCCACAACTGAGCTGCTGTCGCTGCCGGCGTCGCAGTCGCCGCGAGAGCCACTGCCAGCGAGAGAGAGAGAGAGCGAGAGCAAGCGCCCGCCAGAGATAGCGTCAGCCAATTTGTTATTCCGGTTTTTGCGGCGAATTCGTGCTGCGAGCGAGCGCCTGCTAAGAGCGCGCTAAGAGAGCGGTAAGTTTCCGTCGCTCTTTGCTGAGTTTTGCTTTGGGCCATTAATGATGTGTGATCTTGCGTTAAAATGTATAGTAAGTAAATTACTTGAGCAACATAATTTAATTTATGATTTTAGTTAAGTTTTGTGTGTATTGCAAATGTGAAAAATGCATTTATTATGCACATTTCATAGCAGCCAGCTGCTGTCTGTCCAGCTTTCATTTTGTTTTACACCTGCTTCTTCCTCTTCTTCTGCTGTGTCTTCTTCTCTCGCACATTCTTTAGCATTTATAAAGGGGCAGGGGCAGCTGCAAGCTAAGGCCAAATACATAAAAATCGCGAATAACGTCAAGAAACACGCATAGCCAAAAAAAACAACAAAAAAATCCTCTGCGCCTACTACGCAAAATAACAACAACAAAATTCTTGCTGCTGACCGGAAAGAAGAAGAAGAAGAGAGTTGCTGCTGCTGCTGTTGCAGCGTCCAGTAAGAAAATTGTTGCAAATATAGTTTTTAGTGCAACCCCTGGCAGACGACGATGACGAAGGCATCTTTAGCTTATATTGCAGCCATTCATTGTTGTTATTGTTGTTGTTGTTGCTGCTGCTTAGGCCAACAACTGCAGCGGTGAAAAGAGCACAGCAAAAACTACAAAACTTGGCCACGCCCATCACAAAACACGAGCCAACTAGCGGCCATCCACATTGGTTTGAGCGAGCGCGCAATATCTTGGCGTTACCTACACACACACTCACACACACACACACACATTTGCAAGCAGTCGAGCCGAGTCAAGGTAAGAGTTGTCCCCCTAGCCAAAGCGAGCGAGCGAGCGAACGTGCGAGTGAGCGAGTGAGAGAGAGAGAGACTAGTGCTGTGGCGCTCTCTTTGACGGCGCTCATTGGGAACGCCAAAAAGAGCAAAAACTTTGCTGCGCAAAAGGAAACAAAAAAAAAACAAAAAACAACAAAAAGCAAAAGCAATAAGCAAGAAAGAGGAAATGCAAAATGCGAGCGAGGTGTGGTTGTTGTTGTTGTTGGTGCTGGTGACGTCATGCGGTAGGCGGCGCCTCGAAAACGCATTTTTAATATGCGAACTGTTGTTGTTGCTTGTAGGCCTCTGCTTCTTGCTGTTGTTCTTGCTGTTGTTCTTGCTGTTGTTCTTGTGAAAAAAACAGCACAATAGCTGTTGTTGTTGTTGGTGTTGTTGTTGCTGCTAGTTGACGTGTGTGCGCAGCCAATAACAACAACTAAACTAAATCCCCATTTGTGTTTGTGTTTGTTTTTGTATATTTTGCATATTTTATTTGATTTGCTTGCTCGTTTTTGGCCTTTTTTGTGCTTCGTGCGATTTGGCGAGGCGGCCTCGCTTCGTATTCGACGCCCATTGGCTGGCCTTTTAATATATATATATATTTATATATATCTATATGAATTATATACATATATAAATATATATATATTGTTTGTGTGTGTGTGTGTAGAAAAAAGCGTAGCATCGTAAATATTTAAAAGCGGCTGAGCAACTTCGGCCTTCACACAGCTTCAGCTTCGGCAAAAACGAATCACGATTCTCGCTGATTGGCAAAAGCGAAACAAAACTGTTGGCCGCCATATATTTTATTAATAATAGTTAATAATGCAAAAATATATTAATGAAAATTATGAATTCCTAGAAGGGCTTCAAACAAATGTTTCTCTGCTCTTTGCAATACAAATAAAACTCGTAGCAAAAGTCTTTATCACTTTTTTTTAATGAAATACCTTTTAATATTTTGATAATTATCAAATAAATGTTGCTCTGCTCTTGGTGATCTATTGCAATACAAGTAAAATTCTTAGCAGCATCCCTTATCACATATTCGTATTGTTTTTTACATATTTATTTTAAATTAATAATATACCAGTTAATATTTTTGTCGCTGCTCTGGGCTCAATTTATATGACATGATTACAAATGCTTACCCATTATAATAAGAGTAAAAATTCTAAAATGTCACACAATCTAAACACAAAATCTTGTATCGAAAACTCTTGAAAATCAATTCCAAAAATTTGAGAAAGTTAATCTTTACCAACAGCTGATCTATGTGAGATCTGCTACCAGGGCTTAAACCACCTGCTCTCAAACTAAGCCAATTAAAGTATTAATCAATGAATATTGGCAGCAACATTTTAAGGCTTTTGTGAAGACTGCAAAAACTTTGTCCGTTTTTTGCATTGATTTAAGTCACTTTCGCGGCGGAAATGAAAGCCCTTTCCGCTTTGACAAGCTCAAAGATGGCAGCCAAAAAAACAACAAAAAATGAAAACAGGCAAAACAAGACGAAAAAAAGCTAAAAGCAAAACTAGCGATTGGCTTCCGTTTTGCAGCTGTAGGAAATTTCACAGTGAAATTATTGAAATAGCGTGAAAATAAAAAGAACGATGAAGAAGATAGAAGTGTGTGTGTGTGTGTGTGTGTGTGTGTGGGCAGCGGTCTGGAAACCACGTTAAAGGACATCCGCCAGCAAAGTGAAAGAGTTTACATTGGCAGCAGAAACAGCAGCAGCTGCTGCGACAGAGTCAAAGAAATGGCGACAGGAAATGGACATTGCCACTACAAAAAAGAAGAAGAAAACAGCTGAAAAAAATACATGTAAAGGAGTCGAAGCCAATGTCCTTAGAGAGTCAAAGCAGGCTCCAAATAGGCAAATGCCAAATGCCCAAATGCTAACCTACAAATCGAAGTGGACAACAAACCACTCAAACTTTTTGGCAACTTCTTTCCCTCTCTCTCTGTCTCTGTCTCACACTCGCACTCTCTATCTCTTTCTCTGAAGAGCTCTTCAAGCCTTCCAGTTTTTCATCTATTTTAGCCTAGCTAGAAAGGATAACAAACAAGGCGCAAGCGAAAACCAAACACAAAAGCAAAGAGTGCCAAACCTGAGACTTAAAAATGTCAGAATTTCCATGAATTGCTTTTGAATAAGAATACACATTCAAAAGGTTTGAAAGAGAAAAATACAAATAAGAAAAATGAAAACAGAACTTGTCAAATTTCACTTAAAGGCAAACTAGCTAAACACTATTTGACTATATCAACTCAGCTTGTTCAGATCTGTACGATCAAATACATATTCATGAGACCAGGTGGCTAACTGAGTAACTAATTCTAACCGGCTTTCAGAGCAACCGAAAGATCTTAAGAAATATCAAATTTTATTTAATATTTATTTTATGATGTTTTTTCCCCAGTGCTGCAAGCTTGAGCTTATTGGTCAAGCCAATCGAATCAGGATTATTTAGTATTATTATGGAAGACACTAGTCACTTATATGAATCCCCTTATTAAACCCAATATATTTTATTTGATTTTAGTTTAACTTCTTCTCTCAACTACAACTCAACTCAGAAACTATGTCGTAGTTTTTTCAAAGAAAGTTAACTTGGACAACATTCTGCAGAAACTAAAGGAATCTTTCGAATCTTTCGAATCCTTCGAATCTGTCTAAAATATGCTTTAAAGTTAGGAATTAAAGAACATAGAAAAAAGGGAATCCCTTTATGGTTGCCTCAGTTTATTCTGCACGCTTCAATACATGGATACAATCGAGTGTGCAACATGGCGAAAGACAACTCGAATAATCCGGAGGTGCAAACGCATCCTTTGCGCATCCTTTCCATTGCATTGCTCTCGCTGTTGTTGTTGCTGTTGCTGCTGTTGTTGTTGTTGTTATTTACGTCTACACACGAATACTTTGGTCAAAAGCAATGCGTTTTTTCCCTCTCTTGCTGCAGGTCCTGCTTTAAGTGTAGATCACGCAAAATCAACGAAAACTGCCAGCAACAAAAAAATAAAAGGGAAAAAAACAAAGAGGCACGCAAACGGGGAAGGTGGTGGGGGTGAGGTAGGGGGAGGGGTTGTGTGGCAGGCTCAACAATAGAAGTAGCCACATCAGCAGCAGCAGCAGCAGCTGCAGAAAAGGCAGCCAACGGCAATGAAAACTTTGGGCTTGGGAGTTCGTCTGGTGGCCAGTTTGCTTTAGGCCTCGAGTCCTTGGTCAATTGGGTAGCTGTTGCCATTGCCGTTAGAAAATTGCGCATACGCGCCGTCATCCTCATTCTCATTCTCATCGTCGTCAAGCCGGGCAGGATAACACAGAAGAAACAAAAACAACAATCTCCTGCTTGTCAAGTTCGGCACGCCGAATATTTAATATGCCCTATCAGACTGTAATCCTAACAATCACTTCTGGTTAACATATATATTCAAAAGATTACAAAAATTAGTTGAGATCCGTTTAGAGATCACAAAAACACTCATCGCAATATAATTTATTACTATATTATATTTGTAAACTTGCAAATTATTCTTAGAGATACACAACTCATCTTCAGACTTAAAGATTATTCTAAATTTAGAATGAATTTCTGATTTGGTGTCATAAGATCAAGAATATATATTATATATCAGATTTATCCAAAATCAAATATAT